GAAGCTATTCACTGGGCAACAGAACCCTAAAAGCATAAGGAAGGTGTACTGTACTGGAAACCCCACATTCCCTACAGCAGTTACTTTCCCCTTTCCCCTAAATCCCCCCACCAAAAAAAACCAGAAGCATTCAAGAAGGAGCTGAACAAAAAAGCTCTCTACCTTTCAGCAACCTGAGTGAGGAAGGGGAAGTTTCAAGTTCATCACCTATGGATTGCCTACATTTGAAAGATATTGCAGATTAAGGTAGACTCTGAATTTAAAGCACAATAGCTTTTCTGAAATAGCTACCCCCTTATTCCAGAATAACCCTGTCCACATGGGGAGCTATTCCAGTTAGTTTCCCGGTGTAGCCAAGCCCCTACTAACTAGAGGCTGACACGAAACATTGGAACCAGGTAGAAAACCCAGCAACTTGCCAGTTGCTAGGAGGGAGCTGAGCTTCTCACCAGCTCCTGAACCTTCCTGGAAGTCCCATCACATCTTTTCTATCAGCCTCTACCTTGTAGGTGACTAGTAAATGGTTAAAGTCTTCAGAAGATACAAAACTATATTACCTATATATATTATATATTTCATGTAATCATGAAAAGCCTACATTGGATTTGCTAGAGGCAGCACTTCTTGTCAATGGTGGACAAGAAATACTGTTTATTTTTAGATATATAAGAAATAAATCTGAAAAAACTAAGTGAAGTAGTCTCTGTGGCTGACGTAGGGGCAGGGAGACACAGGCACAGAGACTGCGTGAAGAAAGAAAAAATCAACACTGTGTTTAGTGCCGCATACTAAAGCTAGTCCTTCTCAAGAGCTGGAGACACATCTTTCATCCACTGTGCTACCACTACTGGCACTAGGAGGAGCTAGCTTATTCCTCCACCAAAAGTACTCTCCCTTTACTGGCTCCTGGGCCAGCCTCCATCACTTGTCCAGAGAAAAAGAACCAAGAAAGAAAGTAAATCTTGTCATTAAAACAATACGGCAGCTCTTGATAGTGCTAGTAGGTCCTGCACTGAGTAAAGGTGCTGTTTCTCTAGAACAGTCTGTAGTTTTTCACCCTCCTCTCCATTTTCATCAGTTCTCATTTCCTGTGTTTGTCTAATTTAGATTGCAAACTCCTCAATGCTGGGAATGTGTTATTTCTGTAAAGCATATACATCTGTAACACTACATAAATATATTCAATCAGTGGTGGGTAACCTGCAGCCCATCAGGGTAATCCGCTGGCAGGCCGCGAGACAGTTTGTTTACATTGACTGTTCGCAGGCACTGCTGCCCACAGCTCCCAGTGGCCGTGGTTCCCCATTCCTGGACAATGGGAGCTGCGAGAAGTGGCGCAGACTGGCCGCTGCTTCCCGCAGCTCCCACTGGCCGGGAACGGCAAACCATGGCCACTGGGAGCTGCAAAAGGCCGTGCCTGCGGACAGTCAATGTAAACTAACTGTCTCATGGCCCAGCAGCAGATTACCCGGACAGGCCGCAGGTTGCCCACCACTGTATTAGATCATAAGAGATTCAAAGTGCCTGTTGAACTAAACCTGGTCCTCAAAGTCCTGGTCCTGGTCCTCCAACCTTATTTTTCAACACATACTCCTCACTGAGATTCTTCCTCCTCCACAAACTAAATCCTTAGAGATGGACTGGAGGGAGGGGTGATTCAATTACCTGTTGCACTGCTCCAGCAAGGCTACACTAGAATTATGTAAGATGCCTATTCTACTCTGCTCTCCATCAAAGCTATCCATCATATATGTCAAGTGGAAGAAAATTGGGCTTCTACCCTTACTTGCTTCTTCATGATGTTTAAAGGCAACCTAAAAGGTTTTTGCGCAAAATATATTTTTGTGATATTAGAAATTCTGAAAGTGTACCTTGTAAAACTAATGTGATGGAGAAGTAATGAAATAAAATCACCAGAGAATAGACTGAAAGCTTAGCAACTGAGGCCTTTTCTAGACAAAGATTTAAAGTGTGATGTTAGTTTACATGTGCTAACACATTACAAAGTTTAGTGCAGACAAACTATATTGCCTTTAACAAGTACTAAACTGTTCAAGTTAAAAAATGTGGTAGCAGACACAATGAGGTTTTAACTTGACCAGTTTAATACATGTTAAAGGTAGCTTGTGCTTTGTCTATACTAGAATTTTTAATCACATTTGTTAGCACATAAGCCAACATGTGCTAACATAATACTCTAAATCCTAGTCTAAATAAAGGCAGAGAGAGGGCAAGTTTAAAACTCATTTTTGGTCATACCTGTTTAATTCAAATATACTAGGTTAAAAGGATGTCTGCCAAAAATTCAACATCCCACTCCTTTAGTTCAGGTGTGAGAACTCAAAATAAACTAATTAGGCAAGAACAAAAAATACCTTTTTTAAAAAGAATTTTGGGTCCTCACATAAAATAAGCAAAAGAGAGCACAAAATCAATTTAAAAAAATCTTTGGCCCATCAACTTTAAGCCAGGAAGTGAAATCACGTGAAACCCTAAAAAGTTATCTTAAAGATACACCCAGATTGGCATTTCTAGACAAAGAAACAGGGCATTAGATATGAAAAATATGGCTAGGAAATATACATTTTATAAATCTTTCATTCACCTAAGTTTGAAAATTGTCCTGCATCTTATTTTAAAGATCTCTGAATTGCAGAAGAAATTGAGTATTTGCCCCATCCCCTTCTAAAACTGCCTCTGGCTTGCCCCCACTTAGCTAGGCCCAGAATTCACTGCGGGAAGAACATAAAAGGAAAACTCTGTATGTTCTCTCTCCAAAATGCAATGTGAGAGCAAATGCCATTTGGTGGCATTTATAGGGAAACAGATTGAGTGCCAGTTTTCATGTTCAGCTACAGCTCAGCACACCACTCCAAGAATGTTTAAGTGCAGATAAGATCAGCAACTTCTTGATGCAAGACAATTTTATTTTAAAAGTAACACATTTTAGCTATATGATTTGTGACAACCAATTTTTTTTTAAAAAAAAAGTCTGGGATTCAGACTGTCAATGCACAACTCACTTTTTTTTTTTTTTTTTTTTAAAGTTACCTAGCCTCAGCAGTTTCCTCCCTGGACCAGTAATATCTAGTCATCCCTCCATTCTCCTCCTCATATTGAATGTTTTCACACTACAGCTGAAAAAAAAGTTTACTCAGACTTTGAAAAATCAAGCCAAAGTATTCCCAATACAAGTATCCAGAATCAGTTTGCCATTAAACATCCACGATTACATAAATGAACTATGTATTCAGACTACCAGAAGTGTGTAATGTAAACAGTGATTATATATGTACTGATACATTAACTACTAGTAATAGCTGAATACTGGAAAAGAGGTAATGCTCTCTTACATGTTTCATTTAAAAGATAAAGGAATTCTGCAAAAGTAAGGGTTGTATCAAAATTCAGACAACTAGGGGAGTATATATTGTAATTTTTTAAATCTTCAACACACTAAATACCTCCAGCACATATATTAAACAAACAGGAATTGAAAACAAAATTGCTCCCTGGTCCCAAGCTTTTTTATAAGAAAAGTCAAAGATCTGACTATGTTTATATCACTGTTGCATACGTTAAGGTTTCTCTTTTCTAAATAATGCCAGGCCAAAATTTGGATTGTTCAGTAAGTGCTTTCTAATAGAAACGCATATGCAGTCAACTTTAAGCTGTATTGTTCAGAGAAAGTAAACACTACGGGCTATTCTAATTTCAGCACACAAATACACAGCTGACCGCTCAGGATCACTTCTAATTTAGTATTCGGGTTCTGTAATCATTGTGCACTGGAACTCACATTGAAATCAATCTGAATATCACATGCACAACAGCTGTAGAAATTAGGCTTTAAGATTTTCTGGCAAATAGTTTATTTTGAGCTGCATAATAACAACATTGTTAGCACACTATATTCAAAAGCACATCAACTACAGCAATACTAAACATCTTTTCTGTAAGGAACACAAATCCTCAGGAAGTTACTAGCACCTTGGTTTTCCGACTATGAATGTGTCTAATTTGTACAGAGTCTAAACCCATCAGTTTTCAGAGTCAAACTGCACATTAATATTTCACAGGCATACAACATGCCTCATCATCCTCATGAGTATGATCGTGACGACACAGCCATCAAAACCTATCTGCCTAACATTTTGCAATACAGATTTACAGACACAGTGAAAACAGCTCTGATACAATCACTATCAATGCTATTACACAGTCCCTGGAAATAAACTGAAAGTTCTTTATCACTTCCCTAAAATAAGTCAGCTTCTTTTCCCAAATTACTGTACTTCCCTGTTTCAGGGACGATTACATCTGATAAACAGGGCATCCAGATAACTAGGATATCAGGAGGTGGGAGGGCTAAAGCCCTACACACCAAGGTAACATAACCTGGAATAAAAGGAAGCCCCTGAATTAAAGAAATCTATCAAAATAGACTTTTACCTACGTTCATTTAAAAAAAAACCACCATATCACTCTCTGCAGTATCAGTCACACGCTGACCAGGGACCTGGATGAAATGTGACCCCGTGTTATGACCCACCCCTCCTGTCTCTGCCCCATCGCCTTTCAGATCCCATAGGAAAGCCTCTCCCCAGTGCCCCTGCCACGAAATACAGGGATCACCAGCTGTGCCAGTGGGGAGCCGCCGCCCCGCACCCGCGCGCGGCCCGCCTTGTTATTAGGATCCCTTGAGCCTCCCTTTTGGGCCAGACCAACGCCAGGCTGGGTGGAGGAGGGGGCGCTTTACCCTGGGGTTCCCCGGCCTTGCCCAGGCAACTCGCTCGCTGCCCAGCCGCACTTCCTACCCCTTCCATGCCGGGCCTCTGAGTCCTTCTCCCCGGGCCCCCACCTCGCGCTGTTGAGTCCCTCATCCCCAAGCCGCCGTTACCCTCCCCCTCTGCCGAGAGGCTGGGACAAACCCTCCCCCCGCCGCGGGAGAAGGGGGGGGCAGGCGGGCACACCGTCGGGGAAGGGGGGGAGCCTCTGACCTCCTCGCTCTTCAGCACCTCCTTGAACTCTCGCTTGATCCTCTGCACCGCGATGTTGGCCATCTCCGCAGCCGGCACCCACTCGCCGCTGCCTCCGAGCCGGGCCCAGAGAGCTCCTCCGCTCCCGCTGGATAATTCCCGGCCCCACCAAAATGGCGCCCGCGCCGAGCATGCGCGCTGCGGCCCCCGGCGCCGCCGCTCAGGCGGGGCCACGGCGGCGTGTGCGGCAGCGGCGGCGATGCAGGCTGCAGGGCGGCTACTGAGTGGGGGAGCGCTGGGGTCTGCGGCGGGGAAGGGCTGCGAGAAGCTGCCGGCCTCCCCCTGTCCCTGAGGGGAGGCTAACCTCCCCCCCCGGTCCTGGGGAGACACCAGGCTCCCCGCTCCCTCTGGCGCCTGGTCCCCGGCCCTGTCACACGAGGAGCCGCTTTCAGTGCCGAGCTCGGGGCGCAGCTAAAGCGCGACGTCCCTGCGGTGACACCCCCTCACAATCCACGGGTCAGAGCTAGGGTCGCTGTGTTGTGATGAAGCAGCTGTGTCATCTCCACTGTAGGTGTTACCCACACAGCCCTTCAGCCGCTTCGGGGGCCTGTAGAGCTCGCCTGGGGGGCAGCGGGCTAACATGCTGCCTGGCTTCCCCTCACAGCCTGGCGTGGACGGGGCGAGGTAGTCGCGGGGCTGAGCGGGCTCTAGGCTCGCCGTCCCTTGTGGCTGGGGAAGAAGGACTCGGGAGGCTACAGCGGGGAAGATTGGGGAAGGGCCATTTAGCGCTCTGCCCTCCGACCAGAGAGCGTGACCCCCAGGGGGCCGGCTGTTCCTTCCAGTGAGAGCTCGGAGGAGATGCTTGGCATGTGGTAGAGGCTCTCTGGAAGAAGTAGGAATGGTTTATGGGCCTTTCCAGGGAGGGGAAGGCCTGTAGGTCATGCCCTGAAAACCTGCCTGGCTTGCCTACAGAACCCTATGAAAGAGGGGCTTTGGGGACTCAGCCCATGATTTTGAAGGGAGCTGGTAACCCAGAGAAACCTGTGTTTTGTTTACTTCTGTTGGTTTTGCTACAAGACTCCAGGAAGACAGAGTAAGGGGCAAACATGTCAGTCCAGTCTGGTGGACCATAGTACTGTGGAACTATACCTCAGAAGGGGTGAACTGTGGTTTAGCCAGAGGGCTAAATTAATATGCTGGCAAAGGGGATGGAGCAGGATCTGACACAGTGGCTACACCTGATGATAGAAAGGTAGGCCACCGTTATATCAAAATATGCAGGTAGGTATGGAGAACAGCCCACCTAAGATGTGATTTCACTCTTAGGAGTGTGGATCACATGAGTATTAAAGTCTCCCAAGGAAGTGAATGAGTTTCACACAATAAGTTGGACAGCAACTCTTTTAGTAGTATAGGAAGCCAAGGATAGATATATCACTTCCTGGGTGATGCACAATGTGAAAGTTGTACCCTGACAGTTAGAGAATGATTTTCTAGTCTCAGTGATGTTACAAGGAATGGTTTCTTTAGAACTGACGGTGGTGGTTTATGGTTGAACTTACTCGTAACATGGCCATCATTTGTGTGTGCTTTAATTTTTTTGTTTCCAGCAGCACACACACTGTGTTCAGTACTGTACAAAAACTAAAGAAGGCACAGTCCCTGTTGATGAAAGTGTGTGCAGCAAAGTACCGTTAAATATAGTTTCTTTTCATGTGCCCTCTTCCTCTGTGATGTGCGTGACTGATGCATAGCATTATGGTCTGTTTTCTTCGAGCTGTATTGCACCAAGTGCATTCTTAGATGCATCTGTTTGTAGAATCAGCTCTTTCTTAAGATCAAATACCTTGCTTTTGACACAATAGGTGAATGGTATTTTACAAATCAAGCTTTTAGTACCTTTGCAGAAAGGATGATCTTGCAGTTAAAGGACACTGGCCTGATAAGAAATCTGGCTTGCTTCCTTTCTGTCTCACACTTCTTGTGTGACCTTGGGCAAGTATCTTCATGCCTCAGTTCCCCATCTATAAAAATGAGGATAATAATGCTTCTCTACCTCACTAGTGTCTTGTGAAGATAAATTAATGAATGTTTATGGGGTGCTAGGGTACTACCTAGATGACTGCAATAGAAAATAAATACAAATAAACTAAATTAGCATCCTGATTTTAAATGCATCTGCCTTTTCCCACCAATCCACAGTAGTAAGAAACTTTTAATTTTCAGCCTTTGCTCCTTAGGGAGCTGAGAAAACATTAACTCCACAAGTAGTCTGAAGTCTTTCTGTTTTTCCCATGAGGTTGCCAGTACTTTCTGGGTGCTGGAAATCCAGTAATATCCATAATAATATAAATGGCAGTGGATTTTGTCTGTTTTGTGTATGGAACTCTCATTTCCATCTGATCATGTACAATTCCCATAGTGTAAACAAACTGATCAAATTAATTCAAATTACTATAGCACCTTTATATAATACCCTCCATTTAATTTGCTGCACTCCTTATCCCTGTTTTCCTCATCTTCCCCCATCCTTTACTCGTTCTCCCTAATCTCCACTCCAGACTCACCTTATGCTTTTCCTGTTCCCTCTCTCAGTTCTCTTAAAGGGGAAAAAGGAAAGAAAAATAAAGATGCTGAATTTAACGGCATTCTGTAGGTTTGGTTGTGGTAAGGTTAATGCAGGAGGGGAATTTGTAGGATTAAATTATGGTTTTTCTGACTACCCATTTTAATGCCTTGTCCCCTCCATTTTTCCATTTTATTCTATTCAGATTAATGGAAATTTTGCTATTATGACTTCTTGGGGTTAATTTAGAATTATTCAATTATCCTTGGGTTCAGAACATGAAAAAATGCATGTTAATACCAACTTTCCAGTGTGCAACTTTGGGCTCTGATCCTACAAATGCTTGTGCACATGTTTAATTTCAAATACATGAGTAGTCTCATTGGACATAAAGTTAAACACATGAATAAATGTTTGCAAGATTGGGTTATTAAGGACTCAGTTTTCCAGTAGAGTCTGCATGGATGTCTACTCACAACTCAATGGGTTTAAGGGCCATCTACATATATTCCTTTGCAAGATTAGCCCTTAAAATGTTATTTCCACTTTTCTAATCTCACTAGTACAGAGTTGTTGAAAACAGTTTAATATTTCTTCACTTCCTTCTGACACTTTAGGGATTAAGTGATAAGTAAAGGTGACCTTCAAGGATTTATTTTAAAAATTCTGTTTGCCCTCTTTTGCTTCTTTATGCTATATAGTGAGGCCTGACAATTCTCCTCCCCCCTCGCTTTTTAGCTTAGAAAAATCAGGAATATGAAATCCAGTCTTCCCTGGTTTTGCTGGCAGACTTCTTGTAAGAGAGAGGGATACCTCAGGAGATACATACTGTGACTTCACACACTTTAGTAAAAGGAAGAAGTATTGACTCTTTAACGAAGACCTAGAACAGGTCTAGGCTACAAATTTTTGCCAGCATAGCTATGTTATTCAGGGTGTGATGAGATGTGACTTCTGACTGACATGGCTGTGCTGGCACTGTAAACACAGTTATACATGTGTAACTGTTTTTGACAGTATAGCTTATTTCACTTGTGGAGGGGGAAGCTGGAATAAAACTATACTGGCAAAAGCACAGCTTGGCAGTATAAGCTGCATCCACACTAAGTGTTTTGCTGATATAAGTATCAGGTACTCCCCAATGTAGACCTAGCCATGGTTTTGATTTTTGTATTGTTAGCTTCATCTATGCCCAAAGATGGAATAGTATTACTGGCTGCAGTAGGGTTTTTATAAAGCATGGTATGTTCATTTTATATCAAAAGTTATTTAAAATCTTTATTAAAAACAAATGATAACACAAAATCCAAGATGGGTGCAGAATCCTTGAGCTCTTCTTTATAATCCTTATCCCACATCCTCTCCCTCTCTTTTTGTTATCCCTCATCTTCTCTTTTTTCATATATATTAAGCTCTTCAGGCCAGAGGCTGCCTTCTTATTTGGGTGTAAAACATCTCTAGCACATTTTTGGGTACTGTAAAAGTAGTAATTAACAATAACCATGCAGATCTCTATCAAGCCTTCTTAAAACTACACTACCCACTTGCTGAAGTGAAAAAACAGATTGACAGAGCCAGAAGAGTACCCAGAAGTCACCTACTACAGGACAGGCCCAACAAAGAAAACAACAGAACGCCACTAGCCGTCACCTTCAGCCCCCAACCAAAACCGCTCCAGTGCATCAAAGATCTACAACCTATCTTGAAAAATGATCCCTCACTGTCACAGATCTTGGGAGACAGACCAGTCTCCGCTTACAGACAGCCCCCAACCTGAAGCAAATACTCTCCAGCAACCACACAACAAAAACACTAACCCGGGAACCTATCTTTGCAACAAAGCCTGATGCCAACTCTGTCCACATATTTATTCAAGTGACACCATCATAGGACCTAATCACATTAACCACTCCATCAGGGGCTCATTCACCTGCACATCAACCAATGTGATATGCCATCATGTGCCAGCAATGCCCCTCTGCCATGTACATTGGCCAAACCGGACAGTCTCTATGCAAAAGACTAAATGGACACAAATCTGACATCAGGAATCATAACATTCAAAAAATGGTAGGAGAACACTTCAGCCTCTCTGGCCACTCAGTAAAAGGTTTAAGGGTGGCAATTTTGCAACAGAAAAGCTTCAAAAACAGACTCCAAGGAGAAACTGCTGAGCTTCAATTAATGTGCAAACTAGATACCATTAACTTGGGTTTGAATAGAGACTGGGAGTGGCTGGGTCATTACACATATTGAATCTATTTTCCTATGTTAAGTATCCTCACACCTTCTTGTCAACTGTCTAAATAGGCCATCTTGATTATTGCTACAAAAGGTTTTTTCCTCCTGCTGATAATAGCTAATCTTAATTAATTGGCCTCTACAATTTGTATGGCAACTTCCACCTTCTCTGTATGTATGTGTATATATATTTCTTACTATATGTTCCATTCTATGCATCCAATGAAGTGGGCTGTAGCCCACGAAAGCTTATGCTCTAATAAATTTGTTAGTCTCTACGGTGCCACAAGTACTCCTGTTCTTCATGCAGTCAAGTCTATCAAATGGAGTTCCTCCTATGGCAGCTTCTGTTTCAGATAAAATCTTAATCAAGTTAGCAACTTTGTGACT